TTTTTATTTTATGTGAAAATTCAAACATAGAAAATAGGAACAAGAAGTTGGATATATACTAAGATGTTAAATGTATGATTTCTTTTGTAATTAGTTTTTATTAATGTAATATGAAATCAAATTTTATATGTTGAACTATTTGAATTTAATTGAAAATAGTATAATAGTTTAATTTTAGTTATTTAGTTTAGTCATGGTTCAAAATGTATTTTATAATAATTTAAATGAGTAATTTTTATTTCAGTATTAGTAATATTTTCAATTATATTAAAAAGTGAATTTATAAATTTATTATATTTTGATATAATGAAAATTATATCTATTGAAGTTTTAGTGACAGCTAAAAGAAAATAATTTGTCAGTATAGTTCTATTACTTATAATATTGGTATGGTATATAGTGACATTCATTACAACAGTAGGAAAAATTTTGGTCATAACTAAAAGTTATTGTGACATTTAATATGGCGTCACACCACACCCCTTTATAGTTGACGCTAATGGTGGTGTCACTCAAAGTCCTACAGACATATTACCTACAGATTATTGGCTTTTAGTGACAACTTTTGAATGTCATGGAAAGTCAATTTTCTTGTAGTGAATTTTGTTTTTGTTGTGAAGAAATACCAGATGTTTCATAATTTTTGGCATATTTTGGTATTGCATTTCGGAAATTTGAAAACTCCGATATGCAATTAAAAATTCCAAAAATATTGGAAATTCCGAAATAACTGGGGTATTTAATTTTTTTTTTTGAGTTGTTTGCATTAATTTGTTAAGTAAATAACCAATGTACTGTATACAATATATAGAAACGAATTCGTGCAATCAGAAGTAAAATGAAGTGTTATATCGATATTCAATATTAACAATACCCTTTTGAAACGACACTCTGATTAAACCTAGCTGCAACTTCAACATGCCATTCACCACATCCCAACTTTGACATAAATCTCTCTGGCTCGTAGACAACATGTTTTTAAGTCTCCAATGAGCAGACTCCACTTTAAAAGGAAAAACACGTTAAATTTTGTTAGTGTTGTAATAACATTAAATAGATGTTAATATGAAGTGTAAGGAACATGTACATATTTGTTGCTGTCTTCCTTAAATGAGTGATGTGATTAGTCCTAGCAACGACAAACCTTTCTTTATATGGTGTTTGTGGTTTTTGGATCGAACTCTAGTGCTGACAAGGATAACTTCATGGTTCAACAGGAGTTGTGCATGTTGTAGTGGAAGTCTGTTCAAGCATGTTGTCGAAATATGTTAGCTTTGTGTTTAAGTTAGCATGTCGAATTAGGCATTGCTTGTAAGTCCAATTGTTAAGTTAGCTTGTAGCCTAAATTATCTTGGTAGTCTATAAATAAGCTAGTTCTCTCAGGTCACTAGGAGAGGTTAATTGTTGGTATTCATTTGTAATCTTTGAACCCTTATTGAGTAAGTAAATAGTAAAACAGTTTTAACCAATTTTTATTCTTCTTCTTTCTTCTTCTCTATCTTTTATAAAACCTAATAGGGTTTCTTGTGTTTGTTCAAGAAACTCAATCTTTTTCTCATATTCTGGTTTGTTCTTGACGACATTAATTCACAACAAACTAGTGCGGTGAGCGCGAAGGAGAAAATATTGTCAACAACGTATGAGATTGAGAAATTCACCGGTGTGGATGATTTTAATTTGTGGCACTTGAAGATGTAAGCCCTTCTTGTTCAACATGGTTTGTTAGAAGTGTTAAAAGGATTGAAGAAGATGGATGATGTCCTATCAGAGAAGGAGAAGGTAACGATGGTCGAAATATCCCACAGTGCAATTGTATTGAGCCTTGGTGATAAGGTTCTCTGATAGGTTTCAAAGGAGAAAAATGCAGCTGGTGTGTGGACGAAATTTGAAGGTTTGTACATGACAAAATCGTTGGTTAATCGTATATACCTAAACCAAGCTTTATATTCATTCAAGATGATTGAAGACAAGGCCTTAGTTGAGCAGCTGGATATATTCAACAAGTTGATTCTTGATCTTGAAAATATCGAGGTCAAGATTGATGATGAAGATCAAGCATTGCTATTATTGTGTTCTTTACCTAAGTCTTATGCTCACTTCAAAGAAACTCTCTTGTATGGAAGATAGTTGTTGACCTTTGAAGATTTTCAATCTACCTTATACTCTAAGGATTTGAACAAATGAAAGGAGGACAAGTCATCTTCTGTTGGTGAAGGTTTGTCCGTTAAGGGGAAATTCTTGAAGAAAGATGGTAGGTTTGAGAAGAAGAAGGGTAAAGTTCTACAGAATTCTTATGGTGGTAATGTTCATACTATTAAGTGTTATCATTGTAAGAAGGATGGTCATACAAGAAAAGTATGCCCTGATTGACTGAATAATCATTGTGGAAAGGATAAAGGTAATGCAGATGTTGTGCAAGATGGTTATTAATCATCTGATGTCTTGGTGGTTTCAATAAGTGACTCTAGCAAGGAGTGGATTATGGATTTAGGGTGTACTTGGCACATGACTCCAAACAAAGACGTGTTTGAGGAATTGTGTGATCAAGATGGTGGACCAGTGTTGTTGGGAAACAACAAAGCTTCCAAAATTATAGGTATTAGATATGTGAGATTCAAACTCCATGATGAGTTAATAAAGCTATTGATTAATGTTAGGTATGTACCTGATCTTAAGAGGAATTTGATTTCTCTTGGTAAATTTGATAAGAAAGGATATGTTTTCAAAGGAGAGCAAAACATCTTAAGGGAAATGAAGAGGATGAAGGAAATCTTGAGAGGCATGAAGAAACAAGGCTTGTATACCCTTAAGGTTGAGGTTGTAAGTGGTTCAACAGATATGGCATCTACGAAACCCGTGTCGAAGACTGAGCTATGACACAAGAGACTTGGCCATGTCAGTGAAAGAGACATGGTCTAATTTTCGAAACAAAATCTGCTAGGTGGTGACAAGGTCGAAAAACTGAAGTTTTGTGAACCTTGTGTATTTGGTAAATCCTGTAGAACGAAGTTTAACAAAGGTAAACAAAAAAACATGAATCCCTTGATTACATTTATGCTAATATTTGGGGACCTGCAAGGAATCCTTCACACTCAGGTGCAAAGTATTTTCTATCTATAGTTGATGACTACTCTAGAAAGTTATGGATATTCATCCAAAAGACTAAGGATGAAATTTTTGAAAATTTCAAAAGTTGGAAGACTCTGGTCGAAAACCAAATTGACAAGAAGGTCAAGAGGTTGGGGACTAACAATGGTCTTGAATTTTGCAATGAGGCTTTCGATAGTTATTGTGTTGTGTCTGGTATTGTAAGGCATATAACTACTGTAGGGACTCCCAAACAAAATGGTTTGACTTTAAGGTTTAATAGAACCATTCTAGAAAGGGTGAGGTGTATGTTGGTAAGTGCAGCATTGAAGAAGGTGTTTTGGGCAGAAGTTGTTGTAACTGTAGCATGTTAGAATAAGATTTGGTTATGCATCTATACCTTTGAGTTTTGATGATAACAATGTAGTATTTGTGTGAGAATAATTAAACATCCTAATGTTTTTTTTATTGTGTAGCTTTAATAGCCATCTCTTATTTTGCAAACATGATGTGTAATGTCATCAGTTTTTGAACTTTGTGTTCCAAAATTCACTTCTAAAAAGCTTTTGGAAAAACGCTATGTTGCTGCTGCAATGTTCTCTCTGTTTCTGCTTCTGGATGTGACTCTGACCATAAAGCTTCTGAAGAATGACAAACTTCTAAAGATTTTGTTCTTAGCTGAAGATCTTAAGTCAGACACTGATGTTAAGATTTTGATTGATGATTCTAAACTTTTTGAAGATCTCAAGTCAGACGTTGAAGATTTTGATTTCAGGTTTGTATTCCTTCTTTTCATGCTTCATCATCTTTTCATCAGAAGCCAATAAGTTTGAAGATAATATTAAAGAATACATGATCAAATAGTACATGATACACAACAAAAATATTCCTTCCACTACCTGATTTTGTGGACGAAGGACTCTACTATTCTTCACACATGTCACTAATCTGTTAGGGGACAACTACAGTTCAAAATTTTGAACTTTCTAAAATTTGAGGCCTTGTGTTGTAGCGCGTGTTGCACTTATTCAGGACCGACCCTGAAATATATATAAATGTACTTTTAAATTTATAAATTATATCAACGTCTCATATATGATTTTTATGATTTTTTTAAAAAGAAATTATAATTCATATATTAAAATTATTCCCGTGTTAGTGACAAAATAATTTGTTTTATGTATGCTCCATAAAAATATAGTATAGTTAGTATTCTTTAAAATATAATTTTTATATTATAATTATTTTAGTTTAATTTAAAGTATATTACAAAAATATAGAATTTACAAATTAATTAATGACAAATGATAGAATTTGAGCACAATTTATTAATAATATTGTTAGATTATTTTAATAAATTGGTACATTATTATTGAACAAATTAAATTAATATAGTATTGAGAAAAAAAAGGTTTTCATAAAATTTAACATCTTATGATAGATTTCGATTATGTTTGTTAATAATAATATTAAATTAGTTTAATACAACCATTTAATATTATTAAACCTAATTAATTTAACGTAACAAAGATATAATAGTAAATTTAGTGGCAATTTGTTTTCCTAAGTTTATAAGAGATATTCTTATTTCACTCAAAAATAAATTGGCAATGAAAAGCAATTAGATCTTACAAGGAAAATGAGAGAAAAGCTTTCTTACATCTTTGAGTTAGAGCATAATCGTGACCGTGTGTTGTTGTGTTACACGTCATCGATCCTCCAAGGAATGAAAAATTAAACGGCTAATGGAGCTCCACGTCATCGATCCGCGAATAACATCAGCAACCAATGGTAACGCGAGAACATTCTCATATATATATAAAACATCACCGCAACACAAATTACTCACTCATTCACCCTTTCACAATCTGCATCTTTCATCTTCTTTCAAATTCCAAATTCCCCAAAGAAAAATGGCACCAAAAGGAGAGAAGAAACCAGCGGAGAAGAAACCAGTAGAAGAGAAAAAATCCACAATAGCCGAGAAGACTCCGGCTGAGAAGAAACCCAAGGCCGGAAAGAAGCTGCCTTCTAAGGACGGCGCCGCCGGAGACAAGAAGAAGAAGAGAAACAAGAAGAACGTGGAAACCTACAAGATTTACATCTTCAAGGTTCTGAAACAAGTTCACCCTGACATTGGTATCTCAAGCAAGGCCATGGGTATAATGAACAGTTTCATCAACGATATCTTCGAGAAGCTTGCTGCTGAATCTTCAAGACTTGCGAGGTACAACAAGAAGCCGACGATAACTTCGAGGGAAATTCAGACTGCGGTTAGGCTTGTTCTTCCTGGAGAATTGGCGAAGCATGCTGTGTCTGAGGGTACCAAAGCTGTAACCAAGTTCACAAGCGGTTAGATTTGTAACCGTGTCGTTGTTGTTTAGATGTAGTGGAATCTTGTGTATTAAAAAGAAAGAAGGAATTGACTATGTTTGGTATTCACATGTTTTATGCATTTAATGTTCATGTGCTTCGTTTTTATGTACATTTCTTCTACTGGTTCCTTTCATGTGCATATAAATCAGTTCGGTTTCATTTTTATTAAGGTTTGGTTCCAATCCGATTCAAATTTTTAACTCATGATCCTTTAGATCTTGTTGTGGAAGAAGAAAATTGTATTTTTTGTATTTGTTTTACCGCCAAAGTTTCTTCTGTGTTTTATATCTAAATTAGTAGAATACCAATGTTATGCGGGTAAAATTAATACATTATGATAGAGTGAAGAGAGAAATCATAACAAAGAATAATGCTATGTCATTTTGCAGAAATAAAATTGCATTGAAAGAAATTGATAATTTTACATCAACGTGTTACAAATATATAACTAAAATTTTACAAAAGTATCATAAGTCTAAGTTATCTTTTAAAATTATATCTAGAAATAAAATAATCTAAATTATATGCAATGCATTCAATACTAACAAACAATTCTAAGTCAATATTCATAAGTTTAATAAGTTTAATGTTTATTTAGAAAATGATATATATACAGTGGTGTAAATTTGGATCTAATGTATATTTTTTCTACTTAAAAGAGGTAGGGATGTTCAAATTCAAATTAATTTAAATAAAAATTACAAATCAATTCGAATCATTGAAAATTGCAAAAAATCAATTTTTTTAGATGTATTTGGATTCTAGTTTGTAAAAACGGTTTAGTTTGGATCGAATTTCAGATTGATTTTTTAAAACAGATTCAAATCATATCAAATCGCATATATATACCTATCATTTTTCATTAGTATATATATTTTGTTAATTTAATATTAGATGATATTTATTTTCTTAAATTATATTTATTTGTTTGATTTAATCTATTTATTTTTATCATTTTCATCATGTAAAATTAACTTTTGATATAATATATTATATAGGATAATGCTAACATGTGTCTTTAGAACATACGTTAAGAGATAAATATAAAAAATATTTTTTGAAAATTGTGTATTAAATTTATTTGAAATTTACAATTAAAATTTTTATTGATTTTTTCAATATAAATTTTTTATTCATAGATTTTTTAATTTGTGCTCCAAGCATTACCCATATATTATTTCAAACTTATTATTTATTTCTATTTTTAGGATATTAATAAAAGCTCTAATTTATAATTTAGATATCTAAAAAATCGATCCAAATTAAATTGCATTAAATTGAATCAGATTTTTTTAATCAATCATCTAAAATCGAATCAAATTGTAAGTAAATAATTGAAAGAAAGAAAATAATATTTTTACTAAAATACCCTTATCATGTATTAGAAATGATGAAAGTAATATTAATTGAAGGGGAAAATTGGAAAAGATGCATTAGAAATTGAAATGAATCATTCATTTTAGGACATTCTTTTATTTCAAATAAGTCATTCATTGTAGAACAGAGAGAGTATTACTACCATTCTATTAGACATGTCTGATAAAAAAATAAAAAAATTTGACATGATAATCAACATTATATCAAACCAATAAGAAATGAGAACTAAATAAAATAAATAAAACTATTTACATTCCTGTCACAAACAAGATGCAAACATAATGATAATAAAAATAAAAAAGATTTTTTAGGGGACACCATAGGATATTTATCATAATTCGTTGATATTTCTTAAATTGAACACTAAACTGTGAAATATTAATTTTACTTGCTTCTATTATAAATATTCTTTTTGGAAACATTTTTAAGCTTGGTTGTTGTTGTTTAAGCACTAAACTATGAACTATGAACACCAACATAAACATAAGACACAACACTAACTTGAAATATGATAACTTTGAGTATATCATACATCTATTACAAATCTGTGAGTTACAAATCTGTGCAAATCAGTATGGCAATTGTAGAAATTCCAAACTGATACTTTTAATTCTTGTATGTAGAGGACATAAACCAAATATTCTTAATTGTATTCAGTGGTTCATGTATTTTTAATTGAAATGATAAACTATATATGTTGTGATATTTTAGGAAAGTATGAGTAAAATGTGAAATAATATTTAATAATAATAACATAGTAGCCCATTCATTTACTAAACTCAATAATATTTAAATATATTAGTTTGAAATTAAGCATAGATGTTTGGTGACTTAAATTTAATTTAGTTTAATTAGTTTAAGTAGTATGAGAAATAGTTTGTGTAGTCCATAACCATGGAAAAATGTTTGGTTAATATATGATGAACCATGATTGACAGCATATAGTTTATAAGAGGTAATGCTTTAGTGTAACCTACATTTTAAGGCATAATGTAAACATGTTTTGCTTGTTAGTTACAAATTTTTTTCATGGTTCAGTAAGTCATTATGATATATTACATCAAAACTGCATTAAATTCATGAAATACTCTAAAGGATGTCTAATAAGATACTCGATTTACCATAGCATGTTTGGTATTATCAAATGGTTTTTGGAGGAAAAGATGAGTCATGCTAGCTAAAAACATACCTCAAAGCGTGCAAGAAATGACTGCATTAAAAATACAGGTTGTACTAAAATCAGATTGTATTAAATATAGAGTTGACCATTGTAAGCATGGCATCCCATAAAGCAGGAAGCAGACCAGTTGTTACCGTATGTTTTTCCATTGACAGTTTGTACCAATCTGATTTCACATTACATGAAAACCAAAATATCAACAATGTAGGTTGTGTTGTGACATCACCCTCATGAATTAGAACAATTTTATAAAAGGTAGAGTCTAAGAACGACCAACACGATGCATATATGGTTGAACACAACTGTTCCGTGAGGGTATCCCTGAAAATGGGTATTAGGCTTCAATTGAGAACTGTAATGCATAGCTAAACAATCGAGTTATTTGAGGATTCATCTGGGTTATGTTAAAAAATAATGGGGCATGTCATGCATTCAAATGATAGTGTTTGTGGTGAAGATGCTCAGTTGTTGAACTGAGGCTAAATTGGTTGAGAAAATAATCAGCTTGGATGTCTCACAAAAGAACCGTTAAAAAGAAATAAGTGTTCCATTATACTTCATATTTGTGTCAAAACAGTTGGTTTTAATCAGTTGTTTTTGTAGCATCATAAAGTTATATTCAAATTATAATTGACTTAGTTGCTAAGTTGTAGATTAATACAAGTATAATTCAGCATGAATTGGCTAAACTTTTAAACATATTATAAAAAAATTATCTGGTTTTCACACATTATGCATTATTTCTACTATTAGGTACAAGAATCAGTGAAGGAACCAGAAGCAACTCCAGATGCTACTCCTTTAACTTCTCAGATGAATAATCTAAACATTTCTGAAGAGTCAACTATTAGAGGATCATCATCCAGAATTAAAGCTTCTCATCCAGAGGATGTCATTATTGGAAAGAAGGATGATCCCATCAGAACAAGATCCTTTCTAAGATCATCTGAAGCATCACTATTTGAACTAGTGTCAGAAATTGAACCATCTTCTGTAGAAGAAGCTCTGCAAGACAATGATTGGATTATTGCCATGCAAGAAGAGCTAAATCAATTCAGCAGAAATGATGTATGGGATCTAGTTCAAAGACCTCAAGGATTCAATATAATTGGTACAAAATGGGTCTTCAGAAATAAGCTAAATGAGAAAGGAGAAGTTGAGAGGAATAAGACAAGGCTGGTTGCTCAAGGGTACAATCAGCAAAAAGGTATTGATTACACTGAGACATATGCTCCAGTGGCAAGGTTAGAATCTATACGCCTTCTTATTTCATTTGCTGCACAAAATAACATCACTCTGTATCAGATGGATGTTAAAAGTGCCTTTCTTAATGGTATTATAGAAGAAGAAGTTTATGTCCACCAACCTCCTGGTTTTGAAAATGAAAAATTTCCAGATCATGTTTTCAAATTAAAGAAATCTCTATATGGTTTAAAACAAGCTCCCAGAGCTTGGTATGAGAGATTGAGCAATTTTCTTCTGGAGAAGAATTTCATCAGAGGCAAAGTGGATACAACACTCTTTTGTAAAACTATTAAGAAAGATCTTCTAATTTGCCAAATTTATGTAGATGATATTATTTTTGGATCAACAAATATTATGCTTGGAAAGGAGTTTGCTACATGTATGTAGGCAGAATTTGAAATGAGCATGATGGGAGAACTCAGATTCTTTCTAGGAATCCAAGTTAATCAAACTCCAGAATGCACCTACATACATCAGACAAAGTATGTTAAAGAACTTCTGAAGAAATTCAACATGTCTGACAGTAAACTGGCAAAGACTCCAATGCATCCTACTAGCTCACTTGGCAAGGAAGAGGTAAGTAAGAAAGTAGACCAGAAGCTCTACAGAGGTATGATTGGCTCTCTTCTTTATCTTACTGCTTCTAGACCTGACATATTGTTCAGTGTTTGTCTGTGTGCTAGATTCCAATCAGATCCTAGAGAATCACACTTGACAGCTGTCAAGAGGATTCTAAGGTATCTGAAAGGTACTTCTAATGTGGGTTTGTGTTACAGAAAATCTGATGATTTCAAATTAGTTGGATTCTGTGATGCTGACTACGCTGGAGACAGAGTGGAAAGAAAAAGTACTTCTGGAAGTTGTCAATTTCTAGGAAGAAATCTAATCTCCTGGTACAGCAAGAAGCAACCCACAATTGCACTTTCAACCACAGAGGCTGAATACATTGCTGCTGCTGGATGTAGCACGCAGATGCTCTGGATGAAGAGTCAACTAGAAGATTATCAAATTTTTGAAAGTAACATTTCTATCTTTTGTGATAATACTTCTGCTATATGTTTGTCCAAGAATCCCATTTTACATTCTAAGGCAAAACATATAGAAATTAAGCATGATTTCATCAGAGACTATGTTCAGAAGGGAATCATAAATTTAGCCTTTGTTGATACAGATCATCAA